TCAAAATTAAAATAAATATTTTTCGGTTTTTTAAAATAATACAACTGAGCTAAATGTGCGCTGTTTTTATTAACGACCTCCTTCTAGTTGGTATTATCGTAATCTCATTAGCGGAACACAGAACTTCGGTGATTTATAAGGGGAAAACTTTACGAGCAAAAAATCCTCACATAGAAGGTAGGCAAAATACTAAACAAGTTCTGCAGATACTGAAACATAGATAGATTGATAATACAGAATCTGGGCTATGTGTCGTACACATTGGAATTTTCCGTTCCGTTTTTCTCTGCTAGCTAAAGATGTGTGTGTAGTCTGGCATTATAATAGTGGTCACCAATTCTAATCGATATTTTTGACGGCTTGAACTAGGCTCGCTGATGGTGGACGTCCAAATCTATCGTCTTTCTAAGCGGTAGCGGCTCACAATGCGCGACTCTTTTGCAAGACACACCGCATCAACTAACTGGGTGTCACTCTCGGCTTTGTCACAGATTAGAGAGCACATCTTTTAATTTTAGCTTTTTTTTTTTTGTTTTCTAAGTCGCGCATTATTGTCATATATAATCTGACTTTTATCACACGCGATCAGTCGCTTTGCTTCGTTACATTTCGAAAATGATCAGGTAGATTCTAGCCGGCTTTCTTTAAATAACTTCGTACGTTATTTCCGTACGTCGTATCGCTTGTATCGTAGCGTATCATATGTAAAATAGCACTTTCAGGAACCCTTACAATGAACATTATAGAACACTCTTTGGGCCATCTCTTTTTTTTAGCGGATTTTCGCTAAATGACACTCATTTTCCCAGTATAAATAAAGAAATTCCCACACTGTTAGTATATCTATTACCGATAAATTTTGGCTTGCAAGTGACACTAAGGCTGGTTCACATTGGCTAGGATGCGTAACTTTCAAGCCATCTAGCTAGAAAAATAGACTCGTATCGCATACATGCGCTTATTGCTGATGTAAGAATTTAACGAAAATCAATGATACGAATTCTTAGTTAAGCCGGATTGACTTATAACTTTAGTGACCTTTATCTATGGAAGATTGCATTGTGGGTCGGCTACGTAAGGTAGCTTTTACGAACGTTACGCTCCATTTGTTAGGACTTATTTCAGAACGGAGTATTAGAAGTACGTCGGCCTGTTCGGAGAGCTGCCACTGAAGTATTATCAAGAAGAGTTCGTTCATAGACCGAAAAAGCGTCTCACCGAACTGTTTTATCTGCATGGTACCTTTTGTTTACGATATGTTCTTCGTCCCTTTACATTAGCGCAATCTGTACTCATCTCTCCTTTCGTAGCAAATGGGTCTGTTGGTGAGCCGCGTTCCATATGACCCGAATGAGATACTTACACGAATACACTTGTTCGGGCTCAGGAGAAGTAAGTACTTAATAATGAACTTGTACTCGCATCTTGAACACTCACGTACTAGACGCGATACTCTTCAAATCATAATACCATTACTCCACAACTAGCAAAACATCGTTATTCAATCTTAGTTTAATTCATGGTAACTAAGATGGGTATGTATTCATTGCTTAATAAACGAAACGACTTTTGTATCCGAAGAAGTCGGCAACCAGAAGATTGACCATCGCGTATGCAAAGTAAATGATAGAGTCATACAAGTAAGATCTCATTTTAGTCGCTTCTGTGGTCGAAGCATGAACTTCATTTTTAGCCTTAATTATTTTTCTCTTCAAGTGAATTTGTCAGCATTCAAGAAAGATTCTTCCCACGTTTCTCAAAAAACACCTGGGAGATGTCAAAGAAAGATTGTTAGAGTTGTCTGTCTCATGTACCATACTTCACTAATTTAGCCTTCTCTGCAATAGACTTCAGGGTCGAACGTGACTCAGAGTCGCTATGACAGTTACACATTTCTAGGCTTCAAGCCCATGTAGGCAATTTGTGGGGTGGATGCTCGTTACTTGGCAACACTAAATTTAGTTGCTGAAATAAACCTGCTTCGGAGGCACATGATAAATTCTGCTCCACCGCAAGACAGAACAGAACTTCCGAAGAAGAAACCGGGACAAAAAAAAAGCTTAATTCGTTCATGTTACTTCTTGTCCAACCATTGTCCGCGTGGCTCCCTACATTTCAGATTCGTAGCTTGGAAAAATTAGCTATCACGCTCAGATCACTTCCGGCCACAACGCAGGTACCCGATGTCCATCCACCCATCCGTAACCGGTGAATATATATATTCCTCAGCGATAAGCCTTTATGAATGCAACATGCTGTTTACTGTATATCTCCTTGGGACAAGTAGATATATAACACATAAGTGCTAGTTTTGGACTTTGTCAGTCTTGGACCTTTACCATAATACGGGGTAGCGAAATTGTGGAAGTCGAGTCGTCAAAAGAGTAGCGAAGTTAAAAAATGGTCTGCCAAGTTGCAGGAATGAGGCCCGTGGTGGAGTGTTTGAACGTGGAAGGAGTGGCGTTCTGAGCGAAACAGCCAGTTCATATAATAATGTATGAGAACTTCGAGGTACTAACCGATATGACGGCCATAATGTGAGATGAGATCATAATGCTAATAACTGTTTTGTGGATGGATCTAATTTTCGTTATTTACATTGATGGTTCAGTGGATAGCGTGTTTGTGTGTCAAATTTGTTTCTGCGCGAGACGAGTAATTTCATAGGGTAACGCATGCGGTAACGCATACAAAAGCTCGAAACGCTTAGCGTTCTTCAGCCAGCCCTGGAAAAAAGTTGATACGACCTCGATGAGGGCATTGTGCTTGATCTGGCACTCGTTTGCTTAACAAGTAGACCTTCTAGTTTGGTTAAAAAATGGGCTGTTAGATGTCGAATAGTGTAGATTGCGTATGGAGCTACATCGCTATTATAAATCGCTAGACCAATTAGCGACGAGCAGACCATTACTGCAGTATCGTTACGTTTGTGCAGTGATTGTAAGAATGCTAGTGTATTTTTAGGCATCATTTTAACGATACCACATCGTTGTATCGATTAACAGTGTTCTATTCTGTACGACGTTGCAACTGTGTCTGCATCAAGTCCCGTATTTGCTGCTACTGATTTTCTATTCGAATGGAACATTTGAAAAAAGATCATGCTAGCATCATCCTCGATAGCATCAAAGCTATAGCAATGACAGCCTTTAGGTATAATAATGGAACAAAATTTTTCATATAACGCACAACAAATCATAACGTAACTCACGTATACACCACCGCTTTCTATAAACTATATCACGACTGCTACTGCGTGAGCACGGCGAGACGTTGTTTACCACTGGTTATCCGCATCGACTGCGTTCTTCAAGGGATACACATACGTCGATTTACTAAACGATGCTTATGCACGCGTGTAAAAGGCATCCAGGATGGCATCAATAAGAGTCGAAGACCGCGACATTTGTCTCCATATTCAAATCAGAGCTTTATGTACAATGCAACGCAATGAGATATGTGCATACGTCAATAGAAACTGGTACGTCGGGCGCGGAGTGCGTATGGTTCTCCAACTTTTCTACCTCATCTGCTTCTAGCTTTGGCAGATGATGGTCAAAGATGCAAAGATAAATCTCTAAAGAAAAGCCCTCTAAAAAAAAGCTGATTTTGAATCAGGCGCAACGTTTCTGGCCCTGATAGAAAGGCCTGAGCTAAAAGTTACATGTAGTTTCACTGGGCTTGCTGCTTACGAGGGCAGGCGATAGGCTGTAAACACTTAGCGACGCTGTTTTAAAACGTGTGTGTTATTGTAGGAACTCACGGTGAGGATTTAAGCGATAATTCGTTTCATTGATTATTCTCACTCCTTTTAGAAAATGTCTCTTGTATCACTGAAAACAGAACTGACTTCCGTAAGCGCATGTGTGAATATGAATACTCCACATACGACTTCCGTTGCCGGCGATTTTGAGAGCTATGCGTGTTTTTGGCCGCATGTACCATTCGCTCACGAAGGGTGCCTACTGACGGATCATTAGAGCAACATAAATGCCGATCTCACCGAGTCGAGCGGTCAATACAACTTCGATTAGAAGAACTCGTAGAATTAAGAGGCGTGAGGAAACTGGCACACATCAAATTCTCCCTTTTGACACTACGTGGCTTAACGCCACAGATCTAGATTCTCTTGACGAAACGTAGAGGACGCTCACGCTAGCTTGTAAACGTGAACCGGAAGTGCCCTAATAGACATGATCAATAAGAACTGAGTAGGGATGAACCCGCATATAACTCACGCGGTAACCCCCTTCTTGTGTACATAGTGAAAGGACTGTATAAAACTGGTATGTGGACACTATCGTTACAAACCTTAGTACTCTCTAGTGGATCTCCTCTAGGAAGGTGGTGTGAATATACGCATGGCTGTCGCATTCAACGTTTCGCATTTTCGTTAGACATATTATGGCATCGTAGATCTTATATAAGCAGGTATCCCTATCAGTCAACCAAGCACATACGCGGTTAATAATATAAGTTCAACAACAAATAGAGCTCTCATAACTACTGATGAATTTGAAGTGACGCTATGTTATTGACTGTCAAATAAAAGATACACAAATCAACGCTGGATGAGCCCGATCTAAGCGTTTTAATGTGCACCAAAGCAGATAGTTTGATTCGTATATTAAGAAAAAATTGACGCATAGTTAATGTTTATTGTATATGGTCCACAGTCAAATTTCGTTGACCCATACGTTTAAACACTTTTTGGTCCATGGCACACTACCCGTAAGTCAATCGCGTTAGAAGGAAATCTGTAAGGCTTATTGGGTAACAGCAATGCGATCTTCTACCTCAACTGTACTTCGCAGTGAAGTCTTGGCCAAAGTCCAGCATAGTTAGCAGTTTTTATTCGAAAAAAAATCCTATAATGTAAAATATAATAATGTAATAAATTCTAATAAACTTGTAAATAATGTAAAAAATTTCTAATTAAGGCTAGTGTCGTAACTTGAAGCTAGGATCCAACGTAACTCTTTCGCCTTTACTCTATATAGCTACCGCGTTGCGATGCCTGAAGACTGCCCATTTCATCCAGCGCGCGATATCCTCGTTTGGCCACAACGAAGTACACGAGCACCATTTAATCAACACCTCGACGTATGGAAGTAAGTAGATCGACTAACTTCACTGATCAGCCAGTTCGTGCACGAGCCCTCTCAAAAACGTAGTGCGCGGCAAATTTTTGAATATTGAAGTTGCCATGTTATAGAACAATTGCGTCTTCCGGAGCCTGGAGTGTAATTTTGTCATTGATAAACATTTTACTCTACGTGCATCTATATCAAGAAAGGTACATATTGAGGTTATCTAACGTTATTTGATACAGTCCATCCATGATTTTCCAACAACCTAAGGGAGTATTTTTCTCCCATGAAGATTGGGTCAGTGATAATTGTTATTATTTTTATAATTGTTGTTGAGATTAGAATTAATCGTTTTAGTAGATGTTACTCGCAGATTTGAAATAAACACTCGGCTATTAAGAAGAACTATTTTTTATATCTGACAATTTAAAAAAACTGCGAATATTACTAAGTGAATAACTAATGGATAATTTATAACATAAATAAATATAACATCAAGATTTTACTTGATGAAAATTTCCTACAGTAAATTTGTTTTCCATTTTTAAAAGAAAAAAATGACTCAAGCCAAAATTTCGACGACAGCACCAATGGAAAACTTTGTATAACCAGTTCCTATTCTTCGTTAGCTGCACTTGAAAAAACTTAAGTAATCGATACTGTCAAGTAATATCGGCGAGTGATCCTATTTTAAAGTTACATTGGAATTGTACAACTTATTTGAAGTAGAGCAAACATTTTTCTTATATTAATGGTATTAATAAATTGGCAAAGAATAGAAGTAGGATAACTAACCTAATTTTGGTGTCATCGTCTTTCATAAGGGTACCCGGTAGAAGCACGTGCGCGAGAGTTTTCTTCAAAACATTATTTTCCGTTGGTAAACAAAAGCCGAGTTGAGGATGTTATTTCTTCAGCACTTAGTTTATTAGGTTCAATAACGTCAATAGAGACGCCTATTAGGGGCACCGTATGCCTAGACTAAGCACAAAGTACAACAAAATAGTATTTCTACCACAGTCTTTGCGATTGTATTCAGCGAAAGCAATCCTTATTGGTAAATACTGGAGTCTATTAGTCATATCCTATGAACCCTTGAGGAAAATGTGGGCATATATATATATATATACTGTCGTGTATATATCATGCAGTGCTCGAACAGGGCAAATTGCGGGTCTAAGTAAGGAAGCTTGAATTAATTGAATTTAATTAATGAATCGCAACTACAGTTTCACATACGCAAACTCTTCAAATGTGAACTCCACCACTTTTCCACACAATTTTTACCAATAAAGTGAAGAAAAGTCCGAATCGTTAAATTATGTCTAATTTACCAAAAAGATAACTAGTTCTTCTCTAAATAATAGCAAATACGCTTTGCTGTTTGGGTGACAAAGCTGGGTTTTGTTCTCGCGGAGGACTTTTCGTTTTATTCCACTACAGAAGTAGATAGATAAAACCTATTTCTTCAACTTTCTAATAGAAAATCAATTGATTTATGATAGTAGAAGTAGGATGTTTTGCCATGGAAGTGTATTTAAAAAAGCTAGATAACGGCCCAAAGCAGGAGAGGAAGCCAATGTGCCAAAATAAAATCGGGAGTTGCTTGACGAGCACCGGCCAATTAAGCCTAATGGACATTCGAAGTAATACAGAGCACAGTAACGTTTTACGCTATCTAACTAGAAGCTTCCAATCTCCAAAGGTTTCAAATTCTCATCGTAAGAAACAACAGCACAGAGGGTCAAAGTTGGTAAATGATAAGAGTTCCACGAAATTAGGCAAGCGCTCATTCCGTAGAACACGTAACCATTGTGACCTATAGGAGCGCTTTAGGTACGGGGCCGTCCCGTATTCTCGACTACAGTAAAGCGCTGTCACGCTTGATCGCATCATATTGAAATCCCAATAATACCGGAAGCGTGTTCACTACCACCTGATACCTACAGATGCTCATTATTACCAAGTGTTTATAGAATCCGATTTTTGCAAAGGACTTCGAGAGGTTCAGGAGGAAAAGACGTTCGATAGATGTGCGCCGCCATACACGCAAGCTAAAATGCTATTCGTTCGTGGCCTACTTATGCATGCATTCAAGCTGAAAAGCTCGGTTATTGGTAATCTTGACGCGATCTATATATGCAGTTAAGCTAAAGATCTTCTCCTTTGATGTTTCTGGGACTTGTATGAACTGAATTGTCTATCGAATAACCTCACCGGTACCGAGTCGAAAGTACTCGTTTCTCCCAGAAGTACACGAGCTCTGTTCACTCGAAACTTTTCCTATGTAAATGCCCCTAGCTATATGTGTATTGCATACAGAGCTTGAGCTCATTCGATTTTCGTTCATGCTAGGCCATAAGCCTACAAAAGCAGACCTTGACTCAAAACCTGTCACTTCACTGAGAATTTCTCGTAGCGATAATATTTCTTCCTACATGAAGTAACTTCCTACATGAATAGAACGGAAGTTTCAATTACGACCTGCAAGCAGATCATCCGATAATTAGAACCTTTCAATTTCTGCACATTTACTACCTAAGCATGAATACATTTGAGAATGGCAACTACAGGAAAGGCCGGTGCCTTCGTCGTTTGCTTGTACAGATCATGGCAGGATTTCATAGGATATTTATACGTATTTTAAATCTAAGGACGGCAACGGTCGTTTATGGTAGGTTCACTTCGATGCATGAATTTCTAGTGGTAACCTGTGCGAACTTGCCGCATTAACGCTTCCTGTAATACGTGCAGGTGCCCGATATGCGACAAGGTTTTCTTTGGCGAGGATAAATTAGCATCACATTATCACTCCCACGGCCCCTTAGACCAAGTAGTGCAACAGCAGCAGCATTCGTCTGAACAGAAATCAACTTCACGCCATGCGGGACACCTCACTGGATTATCAGCGTCACTCGGTAGCAGTGCAACAGAACCGCACTCATCGCAAAGCGGAAACTACGTAAAAAGACATATCTCGGTAAGTATGGTCCAGCTAATGGGAAAATCGGTTTTTGAACCATAATCCATACCATAAACCAAAACAAAAATTCGTTTTCATTTTAAATCTATAAGCTAGTTTAATAAAAATTTCTTTTGTATGCCTTTTTATAATTTGTTTATATGTTTTGAGGTTATTCGATATAGGCTGTTAGATCGAAATGATCGCCGCATCGGTAGAAGACTGCACTGGTTCGAACACTAGCATAAACTGACAAAGGTGAAAGAGTTTTATAATAGCAAACGCATCTAGGTAAAAAAAACTATACAATGATGGGATTCTAAAATTTACCTAACACGATCGTTAAAAATTGGTGTCTCGGAAAGGAAAAGAGGAAGGGAGATTACGCCAACATGTTCCTGAAAGAGTCCTCCATTTCGTGGCCTAAATGGCGTATAAACATACATACGTACATTTCGGAAAAAATTACAGAAAGAAATAGATTCCGTTATGTGTGGGCATCGCTAGAGTTATACTGACCACGATCTTTTGTTCCTGCGAACAGCTCAGAAGAAAAGTATTACTGTCAGCTATATTGACAAATAGATCTTTAATGAGCTAATTGGGGCTTGCCAGATGCGTATAACGCCTTTAAATGCGTTTTTTATTTACGTGTATAACGTGCTTGCTCATCTATAAGTAACTTGATTGTCGTTAATACGCGCCATCAAAGCTGCTGACAACAAACGAAAGTTCTGGTTTTGTTTCGAAGGCGATGTTGTTTTTTATAACTTGGAAGTTCTTGTTGTAACGACACATGAAAGTCTCTCAAGTGCCATTGATTAAATGTATCGCTATGTCAGCGGGGTCCATCATTATCGTGCACAGCGGTTCAGACCATAAACTCTCAGTCCAAACTGATCGTTTTATCTTTGTCTACACTATGATTGCTCGTTCTATTGCTTCCATGTTAACCGGCGTATAGTATGGATATAAATAAAGTATCTTGAATAGGGCTCCCGGTAAATGGCAAAAGAATCTATCAGTCTGCTGCCTAATTATTCGATTTTTTGAGTTCCATACTTCATAGCGCAGGACCCGTATTTTATATTACAACATGAACAGGACAATGTATACAATACTAAATAATATATAATCACTTTGGTTTCATGTATTCTAGATCTACCATGCGTTCATGTATACATTAAATAAAACTAAATCAAGTCCGACAACAAAACCGACCCACTTATATTTCTAAGTATATGGAAGTAACAGTTTATCTACGTTTCTCTTTTTCGTCAAACGCTGACCGAGTCCTGCTGATTAAGCTACACAGTATACATAATTATATATGGCCTTAGTTTTATTACAGGTATTGCTATAATTATGAAGTGTCAAGATCTATTATGGTTGTCCCATTTTCACTTTTTATTAGAAACGCTGCTAAAAATAAGTAATTGGCAATATAAGGAAGAAAATCTAATCTGAAACCATGGACATATTGTTTCTATATGGTCTAGAAATAACGTCACAATGCCGCCAGGGCTTCCTAGGCTTGCAGGTCATTCTATTAGTTCTGACCGCGTTAAAGGGTTTCAAACGGCCATACCGAACCAAATCTACGCAGTGTCTTAATCATTTTTCATCTTTATTAATCTTCAAACAAAAAGCAGAGTACACAGTTTTAAGATGAATCAGAGTTTTTGTTAAGGCAACTTAACGATGACAGGAATTGCGCCATATTCAAATGAACTCTACATACTTTTTCCTTGCCCTGAACTCCCACTGCTGCTGCTCTCTCTACGGGAACTGCACAGCTGGTCGTACAGGATAGTGGTTCCTTCATGGCGCTCCGAACGACAAAAATACATATTACATTATTATCTACTTTTCAATATTTCCAAGCTGTCAGATCATCACAAATGCCGAAAGCATTGGATAAAGTAAAGCTACATTCTAATCGATCAGACTAACACATGGACCCATATCGTCAGTCGCTATAAGAAGACTGTTAAGGTATTCTATTACAAGCAACAAGGCATAGTCATCAAACGACCCATATATAGAATTAGTAGTAGGACGAATTCTGCTTTTTTTGTAAACTTTTATCAAATACAAGGTCATCCTTATTATAGGAATTTACATGCTGGTTCGATTACAGTGGCATAAAAGCTCTTCACAAATAATTTGCCGTGGAGTCAGCTTGCCACCCGTCATGAATACAAACTGTCGCGCGTCAAAAGCGGCCGCTTTTGAGGCACTTGTGGATACAAAACTACTTTCTTTCATTTTAAAGATGTTGTTAAAGGAGCTTCCTTATATTGCATCTGTATTTCATCTCCTTAGTTGAGAGCTGCAATCTTTGCAACTCAATAGGACTCAAGCGGGATGCCACATTTCCGACCACCCATTTTAGAAGACGGTTATATAAGCACTTAGCAAGCTTTTCATATTTCTAAAATCAAATGGAAACCATACTTGTGAGCAATAGAACTATTCAGAAATAAGTAGAGTCTTAATAATAATAGAGTCTTATAATTTGTGAATGACTTAAGAAAAATAGATATCTCACGAATGATGAAACTTTATAGTCATAATTTACGTTCACCAGGGGAAACACTCGAGGCCGATCTACCAAATCGGTAGGCTGATGCGTTAGTACCAAGAGCAGGTATGGCCGCATAATCTTCACCATTTTTTTCAATTAACTATACCAAGCGCTAATGAAAATGTAACTAGCGACTTACTAATAATGAAAAAGCAAGAGATGATTCCTTCTAAGTAGTGCCGAGTTAGACATTCCCGTGACGGTGGTGCCTTTGTTTACAAAAATTGAGCACAAATTGTAGTCTACATTTTGTTTTGTGTCGGCACCCGGCCGTTTATAGCAGTTCAACGCTAGTACCATACGTTTCTATCTTAAATTTTTGTATAGAGTGATAGCTGTCGTATCTGCAAAACACCATCGTGATATGTAGAATAATTACCACCACTATTAGGGCTATCTAGCGTTGGAAACTTTTTAAGCCGCCAAAACGTGATTGTGTTTTTAATAAATACGAGGACAAGAAATTCTGTTTCAAATTTAGCCTCATGCCCGAATTTTCCCACAAGTATTCTTCTGTAACACTCATCTATCTAAACGTACAATTTAACAGACGTGATAAACAAGGCGGTACGAATGGAGCTATTGGTGTGAAAAAATTTGCACAACAGCATAATGTACAGGACTTGATGGATAATGTCTTCGTGACGTGACATTAGAGACGAAGAAGGGGGCGGCAATTATGAGCCGTAACAGATATAGACGAGTATCTCATTTCTTGTATTTGACAATACTCATTATGAATGTTATTCAAGTCCTGGTTATTCCTCATAGCACCTTAGCTCTAAGCTAAACTCATCGCAGCGCACCAACAGCACGAAGGTATAAACACTCAACCGATGTTTGTACTGCAAGGGAGAAAAAAACAATTGACGACACTAAGACAGTAAAACGGCAGAAATCTTGCAAAGTCTCTTGAGTGCTTATTTATATATAGAGGCTGAGAAATCGTAAGCATATTTTGTACTCACTTCGTCAAGGATAAAGATCTGATGTATAATTAAGATAAAAAATGTTTTGCCTGAACAAACATTTTCAGATCATTTTGCTGTTTGGGAGTTGTCCCTCTAAATTTAAACTACGTTTGAAGAAGCGTTTTTTGAGCTTTATACTTGTCTGATGAGCACGTATTTATACCCTTTGTTTTTTCTGGTTTATACTGCAGGAAGGGGACCGCGTTTGTCTAGGGACATTCTGCGACATAATGCGCTGCGAGGTTGTGGAGCGGCAGCTATCGGAGGGGCCTAATTCACGTGGCCTCCCGGAAAACAACCCTGAATTCCCAGATGAATTTAAGGCCGCTCGAGAGGCCTGTGATCCACAGGCAATGGCGACACTAGAAAGTCGTTGTAAACTCGTAATGCAACAATGTACCATCGGCCTCTTGAATGTTCTCTCTGTCAAAGAATATAAAGACATTGAAGGTTAGTTCGAGAGCTGAAGTAAAGATCACTGTAAAGTCCACAAGTACATCCTTACTAGTCTGACCCACAATTAGGATACAGAAATTATTTCCTTAAAGATAGTTTGAAATCGACTGTGTGAAGAATCCTATTTAAAGGAGAAATGTTCGCGCTTCCAAATGACATGGAATCAATTTGAGTGCCTCATATATCATTTAGGGACTTTCCATATGGGAACGGCGGGAACGAATGAAAGCGCTGTCTCATAATTTATGATAGGTATAGTTTCGTATCGAAGTAGTACGTACCTTTGCCGAGCTGTTGTTATGGGAAGCTCGGGCATCGCTTTCCACATAATCCATTCGAATTCATTTGATACAACAGGGGAACTATATAGAAATATCTGCGCGTATCTCCGGTGTGAACGATACTGGGAGGTAGGGCCTCCTGAAACGCGAACTGTATCTCCTTTGGTGGCGTCAGCTATTGGATTTGTATTTGCGACCGTCTTCTTCTTATGCTATTACGTCGTGCGGGTTGTCTCAGAGTAAGTATCCGGCAGACACTTTTTCTTCCTTCTTTTTTCTCAGCCAAAGTATATATAAGAACCAAAGAGAGTTTTGTCATATTAAACTAAATAGAGGTAGAACGGCTTACTCAGTTCATCCACGCTTGCATCAACTTTTCACACTCCATAATTAGTCCTCTAAGTCATTATTGCATTGTCGTTACAGTTATACCCCCCTCCCTGAAGAAGCATTGCCACAAGAACTGTCTAACGGGACCACATTTCGGAGGGTGAGTTCGAGTTTAACCATCACGCGCCAGCATTCGGCTCCCCTCATTGGTAATGTCAATTACCATAAGCGGTATACTGCTGGACGTCATCACCAGCAGACAACATACGAGCAAAGGTGAAGAAATAGGCAAACAATCTTCAATCCACTGTTTTGAGGTTGACACAAGGAACGATATATAGAGGTCGTGCTTGTTCTATACAATGTAATTGCAAACGAGTAGAGTGTAACAGTAACGAACTGGAAATATTGAGAATACGCTCAAAAAATATTCCTATAAATTTAGAAACGAATTTTCATACTTCATATCCCAATACGTATTAAGTGTCTATAGTTAAATTTTGAGAATTTGTTGTATTCTGAATAGGGGATCAGTGTTGCCTCCAGAAGTTCCCCTACGACATCATTATTCGCACATGCATGGACGTGGGCACGGATACGATCGCAGAGATCATCAAGAGCAGCAACACCCTACGATTCGTCAGTTGGCTCAAGGTCACGAGATTCGCCAAGGTCAGACGTATCAAGGACGGCAAGGATCGGAAATACATACAAATAATAACAACAAGCACCCCTCACAGCAGACGGGGCAGTACTGCTCATCGGCGCCGTTATCCGTGAACCAGAGTTCACGTTTTCCGAATAAAAGATCACCGTTACCCATTAAAGATATTCCTAAAGAATTTCCTTCACCCGTCTACCACCAGCCGATCAAGGAATACCGAGCTCTTCAGATGTCACCTGTACGTATGAAATCTCAGGTAGCTGCTTTGCTCGTTGTTGAAATTATCTATTCTCATATGAAGTTCATGATATATTAGGTTGAAAAAAGGTTCCCATTAAAGCAGACAAATAGCCCTAGCGTTGAATCCTCTGCTCGTATCTGGCTGAAACTTCTCATCGTCCGACCGTCGGGCGCGTGCACTGTTGGTTTCATTGAACGTTATCGTTAAAGTGGGTCGTTGCGTTCAGTCGTAGAACTCGCCAAAACCCACATCAGACATAGGCTTCCTTACTATTTTCGTGCTATCGAGGTAAAAGTCGATTGCGCACGTGCGGTAAGCGTTACCGCTTGCCAGTTTTGGCCTAGTTGCTTCATAACCGGAGATTTCTATCTGAGCGACAAATTGCGCTCTAAATTACCAGAAGAAAATAGGCTTGCACGAACCCAGTGAAAACTGTATGACTGTATGACAATTTGCGTTTAGTTGAGCGCATGACAGAAAAGAAAGTTATTTCCCGGCGGTAAAAGATAAATAAATAAAAATAAAAAAAAGAAAAAAAATAAATAAACCCCTAAAAGCAAACAGAATGGTTATCCCTCCGCAGTTCTATGCCACGAGAAAATCTTTGTGGTCAGTGCTACACCTATATATATATATATATATATATATATATGTTTAGATGAGAAGAGTGTGTTTTATTACGAGCTACCCAAATTTCAAGGAGGAACTACAGATCGTTACGCAATTCGGCTTGTCTACCGCAGTCGTAGAACTTACAGGGAGAGCCTCGAATTGGCGGAATTTCACAGAATGAGATTGCTCTATGACAACTAGGCACCGTATAGTGTTTCGATTATCCAGTGGACGCCGACGAATCTCCAATGGAAAACTCCGCTCTAGCGGGTGTACCGCCTAGATCTAATTATTACTTGTTTTGGTCATACATCACAGCCAAGAAAGCAAATCCTTAAGAACAACGGCCGGAGTCCGCAAGTGGGTCGACGAATGCATAGCCTCTCGTTTTTGCTTCACGGATTGCATCGGCGATCAGAAAGATGGGCGAAAATCGCAGGGGGCCAAGAACACTGCTTAGACCAAGATGTGTTCAGTTGTTTGCAGGCTACAATAGATGAGAATCTTTTCACCTAACGTAATAACATTGGCATGTGCAAGTATTACCACTAATCACCGTAAGTGAATCTTTTCGATTAATCAGAATAGTTTACATATGTGCTCGTACATGCCGATACTGTTTGAGCGTATCTGAAAGCCATTCACTCGGAACTGTATTATATATATATATATATAGAGGGGCGATATTTGGGCGAGCTATTTGTTGTAACGGTCGTGCGTTAATCTGCTATCCATCGTACTGAAAGAAGCCAGCTTTTTAAAAACAAGAGCATAAACTCATGGCAATGGCATCCGGTTTGTCTTGGAAGAATGAGCGAAGATTAACCATTGCCGAAATGATTTGCGCCAGATAGTAAGGATTTTTTAGGTTTAATTATTCTACGGAACTCCAGCGTGTAATCATTGCTTACTTGAAAAGTCTGTTTTTCATTCCATACAACTTTGTACCTTATTATTGAGGTGAATTGCTTTGCAGTAACAAAATGGTCCTATACTTTTAGACGCCACAATAGATACTTGGCGGCAAACATAGACATACATAAATGATCAATTTCGAAGACATAACTCAGTCTTTTCAGCATTTCGTTTTCCGAATACCCCCGTGAAGGACTGATCATCCATCCCTATCTAACTTAACGCACTGTACGACAATGGTAGCTTATTCTGAGAGACCTGCCGTATAAATTACAGTTGCACAAGGAGGGATCTTTGGGACGGCGACCCTTGGATTACGACAGAGATGAAACCGAGGAACAGATGCTTTACTACTCGCTTGACCAGCACCAACAGGAGGGTCCGCAATATCACTCAATGAATCAAGGCCAAGTTCTCTCTCATCCTTTCTACGCGACGCACCACAACATTAAGGCATCTCCGAGCCCGCCTTCTACGCAATCCCCCTTTCTGGCGGGCCAGGCAAACGCTACTTCTTATTACGATCTCGGTGAATCCATGACGAATCAACAAGGCTCGAGGCTGCACCAGGAAATTCAACCAACTGTCGCTGTTACCGCAGTCGCAGGTCGCCAAACTGCCAGCCGAAGCCATCAAATGCATCAGCAGCCTGTGCATCATGTCCACCAGCTCACCTGCCAAAGTTAAGGCGTTTACGACCGGTAATTCGATTGTTAAGCCGGCTCCGCCTGTAGGCCCTCTATAGCTGGACGGCCGGGCGAAAGGCAAAAAGGGAATATAACGATATTTAGTTGAAACAACACGGTCAGCTATAGAGAGCTCACAGGGGTCGGCGTTGCGCGCACCACATCCACACACATTGTACATACAAATGGTTCATATTGATATTTGAATATTTGGAATATCCTGGCCATGTAAGTTTTTGGAGAACATCAAAGTTCCCGCAACATTGTCATTGTTCCCGATCTTTTCCAGACGCAGAAAGCGAAGTGAAGTGGAAGGTGACAAAGATACTGCATCATAATGATGCACAACTATAGCAGTTAGAGTCAGATGACCGCCGAGAAGTCCGTCCTAGACGGGGTACTAGGCAGCCGCTCGCAGAGTGAGAAACAAATGCCGACCTTTATTAAAATTCGGCAATAACTAAACAGAAGACAATGACGGCGATGAGGATCGTCGGCTAGGTCGACGTTATCACGGCAATCTAAGACCCGCGAAAAACTCTGGACACAAAAAAGCTTAGAGAATATTTTCAAAACGGTACGTTGTGTTTAGTCAAGTGAAAGTAATCTGTTATACTGTTGATGGTGTGATATTCACAAAGATTGTGATAATAATGAAAATAGGAACGGTGAATTGAAAAACCTAAAAGGAAAGATGTTCGAGACTGAACCGATGAAAACAGAGGGCATCGAGAGACGTCGTGTTACATCAATGGGGAATGTTTTAGGTGGTGCCGAAATGTCAAATTAGGAATTGTGTAGGTGTATTGAACCATCGTGGGCGCTAGAATGGCTCGAACAGAAGGAACGGACGAACGAATGGTAATGTTTACACGGCGTTGTAAAAAAATACAGAATTTGTGCTGAATCGGTGACCATGTCATGCCGTATAGATTGATGATGGTATCTAATGTTTATGATTGAGAACATTGATTGACTCACCGACCGATTAGCATTTGACGCTTTTACTGCTCACTTGGTTGTTGTGACCGGGATGTGTTCCGTGGGTGCCGGTCCGGGCTCTCCCCTCTGACTCGACTCAAGGATACCGCCTGACACAATGGAGTTGGATAAATAAATAAACCGAGGCGACGATGACCGCATCGTGTGGTCATATCACACGACTTGTTCCACAAGCCACACCCGCTACTAATACAACTTTGTTATTGTGACGAAGACGACCATTGATAGTGACTGTACTACTACCATTTCCAGTAGTGCTCTGAATATCCCGAAATGCCTAGTACTGAGAATATTAAAACGCTACCGTCACGTCACGTCACGTCACGCTACCTCACAGTGGACCTCAATCGACGGTACCGCTATCTGGACCAACACGGACACTTCAACTGGCATGAAAAAATCACATTTTTTTGATGGAATCCCTATCACCACGAAAATTAGGACAACTAGATGCAAACGTGTGGGAAAACTGAGTTTGTCACATGAACCGATAAGACAAATACATGCACATCTTGCTTGTTAACTATGCCCAGACAATGTTTCTCACACCACCACCACCACCACCACGCACAGGCCATCACCGTAAATGATTTTTACGTTCAGCTGAGCCACGTATTCACCGATCTCTGAAGCAAAATGTTCATCGTCGGGAAAAGTTTTACAATTGAAAGTAACAGTTCAGCAAAAGTATGATAATATGTAAATAGTGAAATTATATACCGTGTAAGATACGTAATAAATCATAACTGAATTACTTAAGCGTTGCTAGAAGAACAAGATATGACTTAATAATGATAGGTATTAAAAGATGTCACAGTAATAAGCAGAATTCTCGACGTTGAAAAGTGCAGTTGTGACCAGTTTCGATAAGATACCATATTTTCACACACAGACACACACAAATGTACACTCATTTCGCCATTTCGTTCGTTTTATCCGTATACCATTGTTTCTGCCGTAATCTACGAGAACTGCTCTATTGTAGTCTAGTGATAGTATTTTTATTATGAACTAAATTGAGATATTTCTGTAGGATTGTTTTGCCTCTTTCTTCACCTGGAAAAGAGACCAGGAAGATAAAAGCAATTTTGAGCAGATGCATAATCAAACCACGCGGCGACAACGATGACGATAACAACCCTCAGCATAACATGATCGATGCAAGCAATGCTTGTCATCGTACGAAACAGCCTTTTAAGTTACTGCGAAGTTAGCTATAATCCCGCAACCGTACAATGATAATAATTAAGATAGCAGAAGAACGTGAAAGAAGCAAACAATAGCAATCTTAATTTGAATTGAGTTAATGTGATCATAATGGGTAGTGATTCCTTCACATCGATCTTGCTCGCTGTTTCATTAGCTGGCTTGACTACATTCAGTTATAGATCCGAGTGCCTATTCACTGATTTATCAAGTACGTTACGTGATGGACGCGTCTCCGTACACGGGATTCGAATACTTTTTCTGTACCTACCGATTGCTAGTACTATTTAACAAAAGACTCAGCCAATTACAGGCTTCCTACGAGCGGCACGGTCGCGACTTCAGACGCCGACGACTAAATCTTCGGCGTGATGGGGTCGTGTTGTTAAGCGTAGACACCTCACCCCGTACAGTGTGAAGAACCCAACGAACAACTGACCACATAAATGTAAGCCAGACAAAGAAAACGGTCGGAAAACGTTGATATTTTTGTCCTGATCAACCCATAATAATAATAGTAATAACAATCATGACTGCTTAATGCCGATAATGTCTGTTGAAACTTATAGCCACTGAAAATCAATCGAGAATCGAAATATTAAATCAGACAGAGGACTTGGAGGTGCTGTTAATTGCTGATAGCGTTTATCTCAAAAGTCCTTCGCTTCAAACCCTGATCGCAGGCGTCCGCTCTGCTTCGCTCCTATCAAGCTATTAGACCGGAGCCCAGTTCTGAGTCTTGCGCCAGGCCGCTTTAAAGTTGACAGGAGAAATCAACGGAAGGCTAATGCCGTCTATCGTTGACTTTCATATTTTTTGCTCATTTTTATGATCAATATGTATGTCTAGAAATCGAACAGCAGAACAAAAAAAAACACATCTGATCACCTCACTGTTGTTTACGACAGCGTATAGAGAAATTTCAAATACTAGGTTCCAAGTATTCGTCATATCACCAACTACAGTTTAGTTAGCGATAATCTTAATATTTTCAGCGCTAAATCCGGCCGCTCCTACGCGTAAAGGGGGCATAGAATGATTTTGATTTCGTCTATGCAGACGGTGCGGCGATGTTTATATAGTTGCTTGCGTAACCGAATGAAAGCGCAGACGGTTATTTGGATACGAGACGACGCTGATTTCTGTTTAATGATCCTTTCTTACACTGATTTACACCTAGCAGGTGTTATAAACGAGCCATTTATTCAGTAAAATTTAGTATGATCAATAATTGGCAATTTCTTGCCCACCCGTGTATTTTTACGGTTATATTATGAAACATGATTATATACTTGTCTGCATGCAATCACTGGTCTAACAGAGTTGTCGTTAACGCAAAGCATAAGCTGTCAGCGCGTTCTTTTACAAATACTGTCGCTTGGCTTTTAGGGAAGTGAGGTGTGTAGATGACTGCCCCTTCCATTTTCTTGGTGTGAAGATATGCTCGTGAAAGACATAGTTGAAAGCGAATCTTCAAAGTTACAGAAGTTGACAAATCTGCTGACTGCTTAATCCTAGCCTCCGAGTGTGCTATAGGGAAGCGTTTAACTAACAATGTGGATTTGTTTCCGGTAATTCTAGTGCTACAGTGGTCTGCCTGCTAGCATCACACTTGCCTCCGTAGTTGTCGAAACCGCTGATAGACATGCAATAACTGTATGTGCATACTGAAGACAATTCATTAGGCCAATAGACAGCCGAAAAACGAACGATAATTCGAACGGAAAGATATCTAAAATTTACATTTACACAGGGATAATTTTCTCATTTTTACTAAAAAATCACCATACCACTTCGACTGAGCGCGAGCAGAAGACGCTTGTTTCGCTAATACACTTTTACAGAAGCAAGTTTAAGTATTGCACGCATCAATCGTTGTGCAGTACGACGACTGATAGTTTTTACTAAAACATGCAAATGATTACCTGAAGTTCTCCTCCCAGTCCTCTACCTCCCAACGACAAATCGTTTGTAACAGCACGTCACAGGGCACCTCTGTCTAACGGATAGTTACTACCGATATAACGATGATAATCGTGATGATTCGATAACCGACCTGAATTTTTCTACGTAAGCAAGCATCGAACAATAGAACCGTTTAGCCAGCTATCTCTCTGTAAAAGGCTTCCTGGTTCCAGAATCGATACTATTGGCTCGTGTGAAAATTATCTAAAACAACCCACACAAAATATATACCTGTAACAACAACCAACTTCGACTAAAATAATTAGAGATAATAACATAGTATACAAACGGTACGCGATCATAAAAGTGATTGTAAGATATTATTGCTGGTTAGAGCAACGACGTATTGCAGTTAAGAGTTGACTAAAGCTAAGAATGAACCGTCAATGACGTAATAGCATCCAGCGATCACATCTGTCGATAAAGAACACTCACAAATACTAGAAGAGTATAAAAAAGAAGATCATACCGCCGAATGAACAACCGCTATTCAACAAAATGTCAATTATGATACAAAGCAGCAATCTGATGATAAAATATTATTATACTATTACCTATGTGTAACGATCAAATAAGCAGCAATGGTGATGCCTTGAGGTCTCTAGCTAATCTCATCATTTTCCCATTCTTCAAAACGTATCTTCAACAATTTTCTTTACCCTGTGGTGAACATGGACGCGAATGATTCAAATGTGTTTTGTTCTAATTTGAGTGTTCGAGGTGAGACTATGCATTATCGCCATATCTAAGAATCCTCTGAACTCTTCAGTTTGCCATGATATGACACTTAGTAGTGTAGATACAGACACAGATTCAGTCACAAGCTTAAATAAGAAGCATCGCATGATTATACACCTGCCGATACAGATCACTTGTATAAATATTCCTTCTTATGGGACTATCTGCCCCCTGATCTCGATATTGGCATGATAAGCTATCCAATACCCCTGTCTAGCTCAAGCTGAGAGATTTCTGTGACAAAACTTGTACAATATCGTATTTGTATTGGGGTCTTGCCACTGATCCCGTGTTGCGTGTTCAGTAATTGCATGTCAGTTACTCAGCGGCCTACATTGTCCTGGTTAGGTTACAGTTAATTCATTGCCAAGCTTCGACTACAGAACAAATACGATTTCGGGTTGCCCACGCTTTCCCTGTGTACGCGGCGACGAGAACGAATCTAAACGCCGACGAAGCTTCGAACAAACTACTTAGAACGAATGAAAGGAAACAGGAAGTACAGATACGAAAAATGAAGGCGGAACCCCGACAAATATACGAGATCTTTAACCCATTATGCGGCTCCGAGCTGAATTACGGCTGAGAAAAATAAAACAGCAACAAGATTAGAGTTACGTTCTCGCCAACGACACACAATAGACCAGACGAGAATTACAACAACAGAAGCAACAAATACATAAACTGACAACAATAACGAGAAAACAATGAAAGAATGAGATAAACCGAAACTACCAGAACTGCGACAACAACATCACCATAGGTATGGATACAAATGAACAATATTATGAATATGGTTGATTCTTCTTCTACCTATTCTTTCACGTAATGTAAACATAAGTAGGTAAATAAAACCCTTTAGCTATAAATGTTTTTTGTCTCTCTCTGTTGTATAGAGTACAGGTTTCTCCTTCCCCTTAGGAGAAAAATTGCGTATATCTAGAAAGTACGGGAGGCGCGATGTATTTTTAAATTATAATTATGTGTGGTTTACGCAGCGTTTGTTGTACAACGGGATTGGAAGCCCGGCTTAAAAACATTAGACCTGAGATAGCTCACGTGAAATAGTTGGGAACGTTATCATTTGAACTTTTTATTAAGCGAAGGAACGGATAGGACTTTTACGCGCAAAGTATATCATGTACTCTAGATAGTGTCCTGTGAGTATAGGTATCGACGACGTCATTCGACAGTGCGCTAAACTTACATTGGCTCTCCGCAGCTGTTAAGATCGGACTCAAGTTTGCAAACCTTCCAGATTGTAATCTCTGATCAGAACTGCAAGATAACAAAATTATTGCGGAGAAGGCGGTCATAAACGAGCGTAAATTTCGGTCTCCGTATCGTAGTGCCCAGACATCGAAAGTGGGTGGTACAGCCACGATGGTGACGTGGCTGGGAAGACTGCCTACAACATTGCCACCGAGATAAAGGGTTTTTAAGAGTGAGAATACGAGTCACAGAGAGACACGACCCAGATGTTTATCCAAGGACACTCAATAACAACAGAATGAGGGGGCATAAACAACAAACCCAGCCAGCTCAACCGTACCCCACGGGCCGAACGTTTTTATAACCGCGTCAGATATATATAACTCAAAAGAACGAACCACCACGTAATAGAGTCATCATTGAAGCGCTATCGATGAGAAAGGCAGCACCACATCGAACAGAACAAGCCAATAGGTCCCACCCGTCCTAGTGGTCGTGGACCTCGTGAGGCATGTCCTGGCAGGACTGACGACAGGATGGCCAGCCACACTATACAGCATTTTGAATCACCGTGCCCGCTCGAGAGGATAATCCTGGAGATTGCATCGAGCCTGAACATTAAGAGGACCCTAAGAATTACACAGTGGAATTATGAGGAGCTGCGACTCTGGCGTTCCTCTTTTCGGAAGCTCTGGGTAGTATAGATATTTTTGTTTTAATGGAAGCTTAGGTAACAACCAGTTTCAATTTATTGCGTTCTTATCCTATGCGGTGCGTTGCACTGGGCACAAAACAATGGATTACGCCGCTCTGATGAACGCGTATTTCCGTGCTGTATTTTTATTGTGCTTTTTTGTGATCACTGCCGCTGCAACCAGCTGAACTTGAACCGGTTTACGACATTTCAAGATACGCTTGCGGACTGCCATCGCCGGGTAACCGATATTCCTTCGAAGCCGACTTTCCTATGATGTGCACGAAGATTCGGTTATCAATATATTTGAGATGAACGTAACCAGGGATAACATGAAATTTGAGGGTGAGAATCATTCACTATCAGAAAACGCAAGCATTAGTGCTCACGTATTGATGGTAACAGACTTCATTGAGGAAAGCTCTGGCTTGTTAACTATGAAATTGAACGACTACACATCATCTTAATGGGGCGATATGTAACGGCTCATCAACACGGTTCGCAGGATCCTGACTATCTAGTACTGGTCATGCTGCGTAATTCCATGTAAGGCAACGACAAGGTTCCACTCGCGCTAACTAAGGTAAGTGACACCATTTCTCAGGAGATAATAACTACAATATAGTGGCAAGCTCTCGCCCTTTACACAGAAAACTGGTCTAACTTAAGGGAACAACTAAAGCCCACTATTATTTTCCATCTTGCCAAAGGGGCTCTCCGATCAAATAAGATGGTCGAGGAGAAAAGTTAGTCGAAGTTACCCTGTATGCAAACGATTTAATTGCATGCGGGTCGAATAGGTTTCTAGTGCAGTGAACTTTAGCCCGTTTCCATGCGACAGTCACAGATCTGAAACTGACCGTCAGAAAAGGAAGCAATGAAGTTTAGAAGAGAGGTGGAGCAGCGACCACTGATACCGTGCCTCACAACGATTAAATTGCATTTCCTAAAAAGGGCATTGACACTACGTGTAATGGTCTGAAGTCGTCGCACGTATTATCTTGCCACCTAACCGCTGCCGTCCGAAGACCTAAATTGTCGCTGTAAACTCCGAGCGACAAAAACCATTTAAAGACAACCATGGGGACTGAGAAAAATTCGCAGGGGTTGATGGGAAGCGTTTGCTTCGAATGCGATTAGTAACAATGAATGGAAGAAAGACATATTGTTACTTTGTTATGTATGGATTCCACCACAGACTCTGCAGGAAAGCGGGTTTTCACAAGCACGTAGATGCTCCAGATGTTAGCGAAATTGCAATAAATATCATGCCATTGTTCCTAGAACATTCGGAAGATATCTCAATTTTTATACACTCAACAAGACTCGGATCAATACTGAAGTACAGTTTCAAACAATAGAATCAGAAGGAATATTGCGTTTTCGTCATTTTTTTTGCTGGAAAAGTACATTCTAGTAGTCCTTTGTACGTTGGTGGTGGTCGATGCATGGCTTGCTTATCGTATCTTGCAACTAACCAAAGCAGCTATATGTGTTATTACAAAGCTGCCTGAGTGTGCCACTAGGTGCGAGACCTTGAACCGCCAATTTCAACATTATTTTACACAGTTTGTACCATTGACTTTGGTCAACGTTATTTTAACGCTTTTCCAAACCAAAAAAAAGTCTGAGATATCCGATGCTCGTACCGAATCCGACATATTAGTATTATCTAACCTTCGACGTAGTATCAAGATAGTTAATTACGCTAAAGATTCTTGGCTTGAAATGAATATTGGACCAACTTCAATGCTCTCTGCAGAGTGCGCTCGTATCAATGTGATACATTTCATGACTCTTTCGTAGCAATCCAATTGCCGAACATGGCCTACCCTCCGTAAACGATTCTATTCTATTAAAAATATTCGGGTCGCAAAAGCATAACATGAAGCTACATTGTTTTTATACATTAGCTTTTACATAATGCAAACAAATAATTGTTTCACAAAAGTGTAGCTTGATCATATGGTTTGCGACTCTATTGTGACTACGTTACTGTGGCAGGGGTGGCGCGTTTCGACAACCTTCAATAGGTTCTATAATTAGCTAGAATATATGATTACGTAAAAGTAAGCTTGAAAATTGCGTGTCTGAGCTATGTGTCTCATCGTTAAGATACCTTCAAACTCTACACAGACGTTAAGGGTGACTATTTGTTGGATCTAAAAAAAGTGGCCTTATTTTTCCTATATTAAGGTACTGCTGGGAGGAGGATTTTTTCGCGCATTAGCTTGGTCGGAAGGAAAGATCTTTTCGCACTCAAAATACGTAACCGTATTTCAAATTATTATTATAGAAACTAAACATAAAAATAGCTAATGTTTTACATATTTGGTCGGGTTTCGAAAAAAACACAGGCTCCGTATGACGCGAATAATATTTGTTAGCCTGGTTACGCCCTTTGTCCGTCAGATTAGGGATGAACGCCTTTCAAAAACTTGGCAATTCAGGAGTCCACTAATTGAACCTAATTAATTTATTAAAGCTCAGATTCTCTAATCTCTTCCTCTTTGACTCAGATGATTCGGGGGAAACCTTCGTGTTAAACGCGTTTATAGTGCTGCAATGTGAAGTGTCACGCAGGCTCACTTGATGACATGAATCAAAATTTGCGTCACAAATATAAGATTTCGTCTTAATTATTTTAACCAAATTGTCCTGGCAGCCTAAAAAGGCTCCGAGATAATATACAATACTAACATAAACCTTGAATAAACTGAGCGTCAGATTTGCCACAGATGTAAAAAACATAAGTTGCCTACGGTCGTTAAAAAATTTTACACCATTTGTGAAGCAGTGGTCGGATATTCAATATATCAAAAGTATTCATATGCACTAAAGCACTATTATCACATAAGGAGCTGTGGCGGCTGTTCTACGGGTTTGAGCATTTTTTTCGAATAAGCGATATCTAGTAGCGTAGATGTATGAACAGGTACGGTGCAATATTCTTTGAAGCAGTCGCAAAGTCGGCAGACTCAGAGTTATAAAATTTCGCTTTCAACCTTCACCTGAAAAGCAGCGATTTTTTTTGATAACTCGAGATTTTAATCTCAGCCCCACTGTACAATAAAGATTAGGTAGGGCGAATATCATTATACCTCCTGCATAATCGGAGGTATGCATCTTACTCATCATGAGGGTAATGGTTAAACGTTTATTCCGTTCTAAAGGGATGCGTTTCTGTTCTTCGGATCTTTGCTGCTCGTCGTGATCAGATAGACAAAAGGCCACGGTAGGACCGATTCCTGCAGACCGATACGGCACTTATAATTTTTTTTACAACCTGCAAACTGTGCACTGGCACTGTGCAATAAAATAGTATTTTCTTTCGTCTATATTTGTTCCGCCCGAAACGCTTTCGTCTAGGGAGCTTACGTGAGTTGGCTAGCAAGGGAGAAAAACGTGAGGACAGCGTCCAGTTCGCAGAATTTACCGTAAGACGAACCGGGTAGGAGTCCCGGGTTAAGTTTGGAATAGCCAAAATGAGCTTGCAAAGTTGCGGTTGAGAACCTGTAGCAGATCGCTTATTGTTGGGCTGGTCATGTACGCGAGTTTTTTTCTCGTGCCACCTATAGAGGGTTCAGCTCAATTGCCTCCATCAAGGCACAACGCATGTTTTCGCGATAATTTGGATGAAAGGCCCTAGGAAAACTCAATGAGCGATAGACATAGGTGTGAACGCTCGGGGGATCGGTCTAAAAATTCCACCGTATGTGCAATACGCCGTAATGAAATAATCGCAAAATAGCGAGCAACTCTGTATCGACGATTGAAAGTTACCGAGTTGGATTGAAGTTAAATAATAGATTAGATGGACAGCCTAAGTAGATGGTATGGAGAAGACAAATTTGTTAGCTTAAATTCAATAAAAGCTCATTGCATGCATAAAGTGCGCGCGATTTTGAAATCGGTAATACATGTCTTTAGGTGACGTATCCAAAATCACTCCCTGACTATCGCATATTTCGTTGAAAAATCGAAAGGTACAGCAGAAATGTGTCCTACAGATATGAATAATCGACAAGTAAAGAAGTCCTTAGCGGATGCTTCGTTTGTATCATATGTTTTTCTGTGAAATTGAGAAAAAAATTTTCTCTTGCATTTTCCGCCCTAATCATTTATGAAAGTTACTGAAAAACAACTTCAATTTTGGATATTTTTCAAGGAAATATTGTTTTCACCTCGAGAACTACTTAAGCTGTTAACTACTTTCGCATAAAAAAACACATGAGAGACAGTTGGAAGATCATAATCTAATTAACCATGGGCCTACTCCGAGCAATCTTCTTTGTTTGTGATAGCTTGCCCTTATACCTTGTCCGAGAGTAACCGTCAACACAGAAGATCTAACTAATGTCCGGGAGGACCGGATCTGGTATATGTCAGAGTCGTTAGGATAAGTCGAAAGATAAGCGGTTCGCAATTGCTATTCGTAAAATTGGTTTCCTATTCGAAAGATGCTATGTCCAGGTCGAATAAACCACGACAGACAGCATCACTTCGTTCGTTAGTCAAAAGGGAAAAGATTATGGTCTTTTGTTAGTCATTTGTCAAGCATGATAGCGTTACTGTGTGTGCACGCACTGCTGATAACGCCTTCATGAAATTGAATTCGAACGTACTTTTATTAGATATAGTTGGGCAATTATCGCCCAAAACAAAAACAGACTACTTTCTTTTTGTTTCAAGAAAAACCTCACAAACATCCTGAGCGTTCTGTGGGTCCTATGAGTCCGCCGTCATGTCCCCAGCGATCATACATCACGAAATATTACGTACACACACGTCTCAGCACGTGCTTCGTATTACTAAACACGCCTGGTAGAATACTGAATTCACAGCTATATTAAGTTCATATTTGAAGAAAGTGTATTTCGCACAGTTTATAAAAGGGACGCTGTAGCGGACATGGCCACGTACAAACAGTGCCTGTATGCCGAAAGTAGTTTGTGATTTAAATGTAATTTGTATTCTTCATACTTCTTCCTTTATTTAAAACCTGTAGTCTCTGCACAGCTCTTTAAAGTTTTCCTTATTATTCCGTCGGCTCGACTTGCACACTGTCAATAGCAACCGTTAGGAGAGCGCTACCCAAAGATAACACATTTGCAGATACAAGTTCGCATCGATTTGCGTATGCCTAAGTAGATGAAAATCGAAGACCTTCTGGTTCAAGTCTTCGATGTTACTCCATTCCTCAGGCACCGAATAAAACGTCGAACAGGCTGCAACAAAGAGTTCGGAGAGTGGCACTACCAACTGCTCGGAAACACTAAACTGAGTAATTTCCATGATGTGAAAATGTGATGTGTACCTGTCGGGAAGAAAATTCATTCCTCTAGCGGGTTATCGGGTCCTGATGCTACAGCTAAAAGATGAGTAGATTGGCAGGGAATCGATGCGAATATATGTGTAGGAAGCTACAATTTAAATAGGCTGACGACCAGAAATGGTTAACATGATTGATATGCTTTCGGGTGCCCTGTCTTTCATACACGATTTACAACCTTGAGGAAATAGATGAGCGTAGCAGAATTTACCGAGGAGTTAAATCTGACTATGTTAAAAAAAAAGATGATG